AGGGTGTTCCTGTGTTGCCCTGGAGGACAGATGTGGATCATGTTTATTCTTCAGTTCCACTCTTGACCCTTAGTAGTGCCCCCAGGTTCTACTGGCCAGCTTGAGACAATGGCCCAAGAAGAACACCAATCAGAAGAAAAGAATCAAAGAAGAGAGGGGGCAGGACAGGATGTGTGCGCTTAGCAAATGGTGGATGGCTCTCCAAACTCCTACAAGGAGGCTGAATTTGGTCTCCTCATCTCCCCACCATATGTGGCATGAGTTCAAGGTCACCCTGACCAGTTCTAACACTACCCTTGGCCAAGCCTCTGGGTAAAATAATATTCCTCCCTTTGGCTCAAGCACCTTGTGCTGGACTCCTATCAACTCCCGGGGAGGGGGTGGAGAGGGCAGGTTGTTGGCCAACCCTGACCCTCCCTCTTTCCCTTTTCCCTCTTCTCTGACCTTTCTTGACAGCACTTTCTTACTCTAGCAAGCACAGCCCCCAATCTGTCTGCTTTGCCCTTTCAGCTGCCCTCTGAGGGTTGTAGGGAAAGAATGGGTAGGACAAAGGAGACTCCAGGCTCCACTGGGCTGAGGATCTCAGACCCACTTAACCCAGATCTGTCAGAGTCTGCCACCCAGAGAGCAACGTGATGGTCAAAGTGTCACCAGTCCCCGAGTAGGCTGAGACCTCAGCATTGCTCACCTAGCCTGCTGTAGAACTGGCTCGCTTTCACTAATTGCTGGACTCTTCGCTTACCTATTCCTAAAAATTTGGGCTTGGTGAAGTCATTCAAAGTCTATTAATGCCTCCTGAATAAAGTATAGATTCCTCAACCTGGCACTTCAGGTTGACCTGTAATCTGACCTAAACCTTGCCTGCCCGTGGCCACCCCTCCAAAATCTCAGTGTGCAGCTCACAACCCAACCATCCAGCCTGCCTCTGCTGCCAGGGACACACTCTTCGGTCTAGGCCTGAGTGTTTATCTGGTTTGCCTTATGCAGGAGACCCAGGGAGGTGCAGTTAATATGCTCAGTTTATAGTCCAAAAGTAGGAGACTCAAGTCTACCTGGAGGCACCTGGGAAGAAAGGCTGGGTGGGTGGTTTGCTTTGGGAAAACCATCCACTGAAAATCCCATGGGGGTCAGCCGATTCACAATCAGAAGTCTTCTCAAAACAAGAAGGAAAAGAAAACCTATGGGAGACAATTCTACACTGATACACACAGGGTCGTCTCGAGTCAAAATTGACAGCAACGGAGTGTTTTGCTTATTAAAAATGTGCTCCCACCTTGAAGGTCCTGCTCAAAAGCCCACTCACTGAAAAAGAATCCCCTGTCTGCATTCTGAAAATCTTTGCACCCCACTTAAAAATTCACTGCTATGGAACCAATGCCAACTCCTGCCAGGCGGCTGGTGGTTTTGAAATGCTGACCTTGCAGTTAGCAGCCCAACTCATAACCACCACACCACTAGGGTTCTGGGTTCAACAACATCCCCCTCCCCCAGTGGTCTTCATCCCTGGAATTAACACAGTTTATGCTGCTTTCCATTATTTTCTGGTCTACCTCTCCAAGTGGATTATAAACTCCATTAGGGAGAACACCAGGGTTTTGGCACCTAGTCCAGGTAGGTACCTGGCACAAGATTTTAAAAGCCCACGTCGTCAGTCCATTTCTACTCATGACCTTCCATTAGCTTTCTGAGGCTGCGAATCTTTATCAGAGCCGATGTACAGCGGCTGATGAGTTTGAACGGTTAATGCTTTGGTTAGCAGGCCAAAAGCAAGTGGTCAATACATGTTTGTGAAGTGCACCATACATTCTCTTGCCCCCAGGACACGGTTCTCTTATTAGTGCACCCTAAGGAGGATGCCTGTCTGCTGACCTTGCTTCCACGATTCCACCTCTCTTCAGCCAGATCCTTATTTTGTAATTTACCAAGTCTTGTCTCTGGAAAAGGACATCATGCTTGGTAAAGTGGAAGGGCAGCAAAAACAGAGGAAGGCCCTCAAAGAGATGGATTGACACTGCGGCTGAAACTATGGGCACATGCATATGAACTATTGTTAAGTTAGGCGCGGGACCCCCGCAGTGTTTTGTTCTCTTGTGCGTAGGGTCGCTAGGGTTGGAGCCTACTCGACTGTGTCAAACAACAACAACACGCTATCGAACAGTTGGATGTTTCCGATCTACACGTGGATTGGTAACAGCGTCAGTAACAGTTTAGAACTGCTCCGAGCTAAGTTTTGTTTTGACTCGCCCCGCAGAAGGGAGGGCGCTTGGCCACTAGACCGCGATCCACGGGGACCCGCACTTCGCACCCACAGATCGCCGCCAGTCGCCTCCAGAAGCTCTCTGCCCCACTCCTGCTCTTGTTTTCTGAACCGGACTTAATTATCTCGGAGAAGAGCCCGTGCCCAAGAAGGAAAAGACGAAAACCTCTTTGGCGCTCCTTCTCATCTTTAATGAAGAGGGCTCAGGGGCTCTCGGTTGCTTCCGGAGCCCGCGTTAGAACGCAATCGGTGCAGAGGTAGGCTCTCCAACTGCGCTTCTGGTGGCGGTCAGAATTTGGCTCGGCCCCTTGCATTGTTTCCAAGGGGAGGTTCGCACAATCGTGACTGTCCCTGGCAGCAGCCCAGCCCGGGACTTGGGGCTTCACTCCCCATTGGTCAGCCTTTGGTGTGACGCGCAGGGAGGCGGGGCCTCATCAGCTGTTTGCTGGACGCCCAAAGCGGGCGTATTTTGGAAACAATACCGCGAGGTGCCGACTGGCCTCCTCCTGCGCCGGCCCGCGCCCGCTGCGGCAGCCGCCGCCCCTTCCCGCGCCTCCCGCCTCCCGCCACTGCCCGGTGAGCTCCCGGGCGGCTGCGGGTGCTGCGGAGTTGGGGCGCACCTCCTCGGGGAAGCGGGGAGCGGAGTCGCGCTGCGCGTGTGGGCCCGGGAAAGTCGTGCTGCGGACTTTTGGGGGGTGATCAAGACGGACTGGAAGGTGGGGTGCGGGAACGGGATGCAAGATCCACATCTGGGGGCGCTGCTCCGTGGGGGATCTTGAGGATCGTATTTGGGACTTAGTGGAGTTGGGTCCTGGTGAGCGGACCTGGGCGCCCAAGAACGGCCCAGCCTCTGGGTCTGACTTTGGGGGTACAGCAGGGAGTTTTGGGGCACTCTGTCTTCCTGCGGAGTTTGAAGGCTCCTCTTCTTAACAGCTGGGCTTTTTCCCTCCTTCCCAATCGAATCTGGGCGGCAAGCCCCCGAGTGCTCGTCACGCTGGACCCTGGCGCGGAGCCCTGGCATCTTGACTCAGAGGCCGAGACATTCTCCTGGAGTCACTCAGGTCCGCTGTGTGTGTGTGTGTGTGTGTGTGTGTGTGTGTGTGTGTGTGTCCCTTCTAGCCAGGTCTGGGCTAGAGGAGTCGTGTGAAGTTCACCATCCTTGTTAGAGCTGCAGAGTCCATAATCGCCCCTCGCCTAAGAATAAAGCCTTCTCCGGTGATGGCCTCCTGTCAAGAGTTACAGGCTCGGAAAGCCACGGGAGCAGTTCTCCCCTGTCCTATAGGGCTTCCAAGAGTCGCAACCGACTCCATAGCAGAAAGTTTGAGTTCATTCTGTGGGCAGTGGCCTCAGGAAGTACTCTCCACACACGGGTCTGGACATCCACTTCAGCCCAGGGGAAGAGGCCACAAGTCTGTTGTAAGCTCTGTCACCGTTAAACTTGAACTTGCTTAGCTCTCCTGGGTCTCCCACCACAGGAGGACCACCTGCAGTACCTGTGGAGGGTAGAAGGGATCCTTGGGGCTTGCAGAACCACACCATCTCACTGCACCTCCCCCACTGTCTGCCCAGGCAGGGGTCTCACTCCAGGGCTTTGCCACCATGCAGAAGGAGGGGGAGGTGACCGGTGTCAAAGGAAAACCAGACAATGACTCCTGCTTGGGACTGACCTTTGGAGGGCTCCTTCTTAGGTTGTAGTCATCCTTGGGTTCACTAGCTTATGGGGAGGAGGTTAAGGCACTGGGCAGGGACCCCTGCTGGGTGACTGGCAGGACCAGCCTTGCTTGGTCCATTCAGGGGGAACTTTGTTTCCTGGTGCTGGTAAGCTGGAGTTCTTTTGGGAACTTTGCCTTACTGGTAAGCATCCCATTCTCCAAGAAAGAAGACAGGAAGGTGGAGGCAAGCACCCCAATGAGAGCTTGCATTGGGGTGACCCAGGTTTCCCAAATTACCCTGAGATTCCTTTAGGTGATTAACCAACCCTAAGACCATTTGACTAGCTCTTCAAAGGCTAGAGACTGGAGGACAGAGTCTCCAGAAATCTCAAAATTGAGTCTGATGACTACAAACTGTCTTTCCATATCCTTAACCAGGGAGGTAATTGCTGCTTCGGGTCCCAGGGGCCCAAAAGGGTTCCTGGTGTGTGTGTTTGAGGTGGGGGGCTGTGCATTGGGAGCATACAATGGATGCTCCAAGTTCAGCCTTCCAAGGGCCGGCCATCAGGTGGAGCAAGAGGAACTTCTTCATCACCAAGAAACTCATATCAACCAGCTGACTGGCACGGGCAGCAAGTGAGGTCACATGCAGAGGGCTGGATTTCACTTCCTTCTCGGGGGCAGGTCGTGCCAATCTCAGGTCTGCACTGGCAAGAATGGTGGGCTGTGGAGACAGGAATTTGAAGTCACTAAAACTAGTGAGTAGACTGAGCTGGGGGGTAGCTGGACACTTTGCCAGAGACTAGCCCCGCTCTCCAGGCCAGCCTGCAGTCCACAGTCACCTCTGCTCTCCTCCAGAGGGCTGCCATGACTAACTGGATGACCCTTCTTTCTCCCTTCCCTGTCCCCAGGACACGCTGCTGTTACCACACCACGGAGCCTGTTTTGTTGTGTTGAGCAAGCAGGGGGTGGAGAGTAGGTGGGCAGCAGGGCGGGGCTTAGCCACTTTGGAGGGAACCTGGCTGCTGAAGGATTGCTGGCTTTTGTTACTGCTGCTAAACCCAGTGCTCAGTTCAGGCTGAGAGGAGAGCTTGGTGGTGGTGTGTGATTCTCTGTGTATTGTGAGCACTGTGTGTACAGTTAGTTAGCCAGGTGCTAGCACCTCTACCTTCCCTTTGCCCTCCATCAGCAGCTCAGAGTCTCGCCCTGTTTACATTTCGCCAGGTGCCCTGAGTGCGGATCCTACCCTTGCTGTTGCTTAGGCCAACCAGAGTCAAACTTGACTGGCCAAAAGGAGGATGGCTGTAGGTGGCCCAGGGAAGGGATGTGATGAGTCCCCGAACACGGGGGCAGGTGTCACTGTCAGTCAAACTCTACCACCAGGGTGGTGGGTCTTCGGTCCCTGGCCCAGCTCCCTCAGACGAAAAGAAAGGGGAGTAGGGAAGAAGCGAATGAGGAGGGGTGCCCTCCCAGGTCTGGCCTGGGTGGGGCAGCGCCCCAGATGTCTGCCTTGCTCACTGACAGGGGAGATGGAGCTGCCCCAGTGCGTGGAAGACTTGGAGGACGATGTGTTCCAACTCGAGGATGGGGAGCCGGGGACCCAGCCTGGGGGCTTGCTCTCTGCTGACCTGTTTGCCCAGAGCCAGCTGGACTGCCCCCTCAGCCGGCTTCAGTTCTTCCCTCTCACACATTGCTGTGGCCCTGGGCTTCGAGCCACCAAGCAGGAAGACAAGGCCACTCAGACCCTCAGCCCAGCCTCCCCCAGCCAGGGTGTCATGCTGCCTTGTGGGGTGACCGAGGAACCCCAGCGACTCTTTTATGGTGAGTGTTCTTAGCCTCAGAACTCTTCCATAGAGGTTGGGGGGTGGGATTTCCCCTCCCCAAACCTGCCCTTCGCTATTTCCTTCCCCAAATTGAGCCACGTGAGCGGCTGTGTTCGTTGACTTGTGCCTTCTGCCTCTCTGCTTGGTGTCGCTCCTCACCTGTGCGCCGCAGGTTCCAAGAAAGCAACCCCCTATTTCTGTTCCTTGGTCCTTTCTGCCAGGGGTTCTGGGTCCAGGGGTGTTTTCCAGAGCTGGAGAGGGGGCCCTGGGTCTCAGCATCTCCACCTGGTGCCCCTGTTGAGTGGGCCAGCCTCTGGGGGTTTGGACAGCGATGTGCCTTCCCTATTGATCGCCACCGACCTGGCCCAAGAGAAGGCTGGGACTCTGTGACTGTTGACACTGAAGGGGGAAACCCAGCCCTGTCTGGGAAGGAAGGTTCCTTTAGGCAGAGGTGCCCCCCCTCCCCCCCGCCCCCCGCCAGGCCAGTTGTCACTTGGGACTTTCTGTGCTTGGAAGGGGAACTGGAGATAGAAGTCAGGCAGCCTCGGCTGTGGGCCAGCAGAGAGGCTCCCTCCAAGGCTAAATCTGGCAAGCCCCCTCCCTCTGAGGGCTGAAATAACTCGTTTTATGAGACACGTGCCCTCCTCTGGCGAAAGGGCAGGGCTAGACGGTCGGTTTTCTTCATGTAGACGATGGCTCTTGGAGGCAGGGGAGAAGGTTCTGGGGGAGGGGAGGCTCTTTTGCTTTTGTCTGGTGGCGCAGCGCGAGGAGACACTGCAGTTAGTCCTCAGGGAGCGGCTCCGAAGGGCAGGTTCTGGCAAAATGATTGTGGCAGGCGCCTACAAAGTTGGCCAAGACTGCAGAGGGCTGGGACACGCACGGGAGGCAGGCGGGGAGGCGCCCCTAGTGGCCGCTCGGATGCCAGCCCCGGTGAGTGTGGGGCTGGACTCCGGTCTAGCGGTCTCTGTTCCCCAAGTCTGAGGACTTTCCTCTTGCTGGTTTGCGTGCCGCTGCCCAGAGCTGCCGGAGCTGCGACTGGTGTCCTGCTGCCGCACGGGAAAAGTGAGGATGAATTTGAGTCGTCTCTTTCTTTGTCCCTCACGCTGCACAACCAGGCAGGAGCCCTGGAGAGCTACCTCCAGAGAGTTCCAAGGAGCTGCTACAGGCATGCCAGACTGTGGTCAAGCTCAGCTTGGTCAATAGGGCACGGGCTGGCAAGGTCATCCAGACATAGCAGTACCCTGGCCTTTGCCACTGAACCGAGGGGGCACCGGGAGCATGCTCTTCCCTCCCAGCACCGACGTTGAGACACGGGTGGGCAGCAGGCACATCTCAGCCCAGGGGTGCAGGCCAAGGGAGGGGATGGGGTGAGGCGGGGGGATGGGGCAGTTGTGAAGAATGCTGAGATACAGGCCCTCTCTCTGTCTTTTGCAGGCAACGCTGGCTACCGGCTCCCTCTCCCTGCCACCTTCCCTGCAGGCTTGCCCCTGGGGGAGCAGCCCCCTGAAGGGCGGTGGCAACATCGAGGGGAGGTACAGATGGCCCGGAAGCTTCGCTGCATTGCAGACCAGTTCCACCGGCTTCACGTGCAGCGGGTAGGGACACAGGGGGGCGGGGGGCATGGGTGGGTGGGAGGGAAATAGAGAGAACATGTCTTCTTATTAGCCACTCATCTCTGCCAGGCCTCAGGATAGGATCCCAGAGTGTTGGCCTTGGATTTTGTGATTCCCAGGCACTGGATGGGCCCGGCTGGCTGAGCATGCCTGCCTTCACATCTAAGCTCTAAGTTGGTCATCTGCCCATTCTTAGCTCAGGCACCAGGAGAACAGGATGCTGGGAGAGCCATGACTGCTTGCTGGGAAGGGGTGGCTTCCTGTGCAGGAGTCTGACAGAGGGGTTCTCTCTAAGGTCTGCCCGCTCACAGAACCCTCCCCCTCAACCACCACCACCACCACCACCAAGGGTGCTGCAGAGACCAGACAGTGTGGGGTGGGGTGTGCCAGGTTCGCAACTGGGTGGGAAGTGGGTAGCCCAGTGGAGGGATGAGGCCTGAATGGGAAAAGTGGTGGAACCAGTTGTAACCTGACACTTTCCAGCTGGGGAGGCCGCTCCTCTCTGTCTCTGGGAACTGACTGGGGCCTGGACTCTGGAGAGTGTGCCTCTGGGAGAGCCTCCAGACCAGCGGGCGGCCGGGCGCTTGGCCGGGTGTTTGGCCAGCAGCCTGGCACCAGCCCCGCCAGGGCGGAGCATCTCATGTCAGCCGAGCATGTGGCAGAGCCCATCAACAAAGGCGGCGGCTGGCAGGCTCGTGCTGTGCTGCGGGAGCCTGCCGTGCCACTGACTGGAGGCTGCCGGGCTCTGCTGCTGCTGCTGTCCGCCTGCCCCAGCCACTTAACCCTTCCCCTCCAGGCCCCACTAACTTTCTGGACAGCTGGATCCCTGGTAGGAGAGCCACTTTGGAAGTAAAAGCATGCCCTCTGGCCATGCATCCACTACCAACCAGGCTGGTGACCCTCTCCCAGTGAGTTGTGCATCTGTCCGTCTAGCTGTCTGTCAGGAAATCCGGCGACAAAGTCCCCACAGGCCAGCCGACCCTCAGGTTCGGTAGGTCATGCAGGTGACTGGAGGAGAGTTATGGGGGCCAGCAGTGGTTCCTTGGTAGAAATCTTGCCTTCCATGCGGGAGACCCGTGTTCGATTCCTGACCAGTCTACCTCATGCACAGCCCCACCACTAGTGTGTAGCTGGAGGCTTGAGCGTTGCGCTGATGTGGAACAGGTTTCCGCGGGGCTTTCTGACTAAGACAAGGAGGAAAGGCCTGCTGACCCCATTCCAAACTTCAGCCTATGGAAACCCTATGGATCATAGCCAATCGTGAGGAGGGTGTGGGCCCTGGGGCATCTCCTTCCGTGGTACTCGGGGTCACCATGAGTTGGGGACCTGACTCAATGACACTTCCCATCAATAACAATCAAACTCAAACCATGGCCATGGACGTGGGATGGGCATTGACTTTGACATTGCTCAGAAGAACCCTTCAGAGGTTCAATGTAGTTATTGCTACTGCCGAAGGGGCCAGAGGGAAGTGTGCCGGGAAGAAGTCGGGCTAGCCCTGGTCTCTGTGGGCTTCCCTGGTGAGTTAGGGATCAGGAAGGGAGGACAGCCTATGCTGACACAGAAGGGTTACCCTGGCCTCCTCTGGCCCAGAGCTCCGGGCCCTGTGACCTCCTCTGAGCGCTGTGTGGAGACTTGGCTGCCACTTTCCCCTTCAGCCCCTGTGTGGACTCACTCTAATTCTTGGTTTCATTCTCTTGGGCTTCTTCCTGCCCATTCACTCCATCCTACTTAGGCAGGTCTGTGGTGGAGGCAGCTCAGAGCTGACTGTGGGTCTTTAAGGCAGCAGACTGCTTTCTTCATCTGTGGTGGCTCTGCCCTCTCTCAACAGCTCAGAATGTCCCCTATCCTTTGGGGAGTCCCTGCAGGCTTGCGGGGAGGCGGGGTGGCCTCCCTTGCCCAGCTGTGCCCTGGCTCAGGATGGAACCGCCTGACCCCACTCTGTGGTCCTGGGCCTCATCTCCCCTACTTCAAGAGGGCGAGTTAAGCCTGAGGTCTTGCTGTTTAGCCCTAGAGGAGGTGCTGTGCTCCACTCTCCCTGCATCCCACCTGCACACTGGCTCCTGAGCTCCCGGTGTGCCCCCTACCTTCCTGCCATCTGCCTACTTTTTCCACCTGCTGTTGCAGGAGGCAGCTAAGAAGGCCTTCCTTCTGAGCTCAAACAGCTTGTTTTCTCAGATTTTCCATGACAAAGAGCAAGGCCCCACTTCTCCTTGAGAATGCTCCTGGGAGTCCTCTGCTCTCTGTACTCCTCTTCAGGAACTTCTCACAGACCTGCAGCGGGAGCTCAGACTTTGGGCAGGGCCAGGGTGATGGCTACCAGCCAAGGAACCACTGAGGAGACCCCTTTAGCACCTGGTTGCAAAAAGTAGATTATGGTCTGATGGTGGTCTGCTGTTTCCTGTCTAGAAAGCTCGGCTGTCCCTCCTGCATCCTTGCTTATCCTTGATCTTCTTTTCCTATCCCCTGCCCTCATCTTCATGGCTGCTAACCACAAGGTCAGCTGTTTGAAACTGTCGGCCTTTCGATGGGGAAAGGGTGAGGCTTTCTACTTCCGTAAAGAGTTGCCATCTCGGAAACCCGGAAGGGCAGTTCTACCCAGTCCTGTCGGGTCGCTGTGAGTCGGAATCTGCTGCATGGCAGTGGGTTTGTGTTTGTTTTGTTTTTAATTTCCCTCATCTTCATAGTTAGGGACACTGAAGGACTGGAAAGGAAGTGCTGTAGGATGAAGTCTCTAGGCTTTAGGAAAGAAAGAATTAAGTCTCTAGGGTTTGGATGCAGCCAAAAGACCGAAGAGTAGATACCATCCCTTGCCTATCAGCCACCGGGAGATCCCTTGGCCTCATTGAGCCTGTTTCCTTCTGTAAATTGGAGCTAAGGCGATGCCATTGGGACAGGAGACTGTTCTAAGGGCACCCATGACTGCCCTTTCTAAGGAACAGGCGGAAGGAGGCAGAACTTTATTGTGAAAATCCAGTGGGAGAACACTTGGAAATTCCAGGCACATAGTAAACCAATGGCCGAGCTGCTCTGATTCCTGACGGCCCTGTGTGGGTTAGGGGGAACCCCTCTAAAGTGTGTTCACAAGTGGTAGATGACCAGGGGCTTTCCTTTCTTTCTTTCCCCCCTTTTCCTTTTTAACATTGTATCATGAATTAGGTGAAAGTTGGCAGAACAGACCATCAGTTTCCCGTTCGGAGCTTCCTACGCATTGTGTTTCCCTCCGGCTCACACTCCCCTGGAGCAGCACCACTTCCTCTGTTTCCTCCCGCACTGCCCATTTCCTGCCCCTCCGTTCCTCGCCCGCTGCACGTTGCCCTGGAGTGTAAGTGCTGCCCTTTTGATCTGAAATGTTTGATTGTTCTAACACGGGTTCTGTTCCATTCCAGACGTGAAGGGTGACCAAGGCCATAGTCTTGGGGATTCCACCAGTCCTTATCTGGCCAATAAGCCTGCTTTCTTTTCGGATTTGGGATATTCCCCACCCCCGTATCTTTCTCCTGCTCTATCCTGGATGTTCTAATGTGATCCTTTTCAGAGAAACTGGCAGTGGTAGCAGGGCACCATCTAATTCTTCTGGCCTCAGGCCCACAGAGGACCACAGTCACGTCCTCTGGTAACCCACTGGACTAAGTGTTTTTCCTGATGCCTTTTGATTGACATCCGTTTTTTTGTTTTGGCTTCAAACAAGAAGCCAACATCTGCACCTTAAATGGCTGTTCATGAGCTCTTAAGGCCACAGTTGTTATGACGCACAGTCGAGTGTCTGTCGAACATTGTCTCCGTGCACTATGTTACACCAACTGATCTTAGGTTGTCCCCAGATTCTTCACCAGGCCTTTCTTCCAAGACTCTGCCCAGTAGACTTGAACTGCTAGCCTTTGACTAGCAGCCGGGGCCATGGACTATGTGCACAACCCCAGGACTCCAGGCACACACTTGCTATTCCTTTTGTCTGAGCAGCTCCCACACTTGTTCTTATCTAGTGACATTTCATTTCCCATCCCCTTGCTTCCCGTGAGCCGTTTCCTGAGCGGAGTGGCCTCCCCGAGCTCCTGTTTCACTCATCCCCCCTTGGACAAGGATGGTCCCGCCCCATCATTTTGGGCTAGGTTGAGAGAGCAGAAAGAAGCAACAAGAATATTGTGGAGACCTGCCTACCATCCTTCTCCTCAGATCTGGAACAGGGTCTTGGGACCAGAGAGTGGCCCGTAGGGGGGG